CATTCAATGGTAGAGTGTTTCCCAACCAGGCACAAGATCTTGGCTTTGGCTGGGTATATGTGGTGACACACTTCTAATCCCAATGCTCAGGAGGCTGAGGCAGGAGGATCACTGTGAGTTTGAGCCAGCCTGTACCACATATTCAGACTTTGGTCGCCTGTTGCCCCTGAAAGACCCTGAGTTAGATCCTGGCTGGATGTCCTGTCACATTCATCGAATCCATCGGGCTGGGACATATTCAAGTGCTTTCCATTCCAACATTTTTTCCTTCTGCTAAAAGTAAGGCGATCCAGACCAAACATATGTATGTGTTTTGTAAGAAGCCAAGCCCCTTGCCGCCGCCGCTGTGCCACCTGCTGGTCTGCCGGCCGGGCCCATGATGTCACCGGGCTGGGCGTCTGCGGCGGTCTGATGTCACAGCGATCATGTGGCGCGGGGGGTGGTCAGGCCGGGCCGGGAGGCTGTGATGGGAAGTGGGGCTGCGCCAGACTCCGGGCTGCAGGGACAGAGCTGCCGCAGGGGCCGCGCTGCTGCAGGGACCGCGCTGCTGCGCCTCCTCACGGCCACTGCCCACGATCAAACCATCGCAGCTGCCAGCGAGAGAGGCTCATCTCGTGAGTGCTCTGGTGCCTTTGTTCAGGGCGAGCTCAGGCGGGCAGTGGGAAGGAGCGGGAGGGTGCGGTGGCGTGGGGACGCGTACGCGGGGTCTTTGTGACATCGTGGGAAGCCATGCCGGAGGGGCTCAGTGTGGCTCCCAAATCCTGGCCCAGCCGCAGCCCAGCTGCGCTCTGCGTGCCTCCCCGCAGCGCTGAGTGCCGCTTCCTGCAGCCAGCCGTCTGCACGGCAAGGGTTTGCTGGGTGCTGGGCAGACTTGGGGTGGTGGTTCCAGGGGAGGATGGGGCTGCGTTCGGTCCGGGCTCCGCCCAGGGGGTGACTGGGAGAGCTCGGCCGAGGACCAGGCAGTGGCGCCGGGTCTGAGCAGCTGCTGCCTGCTCCCGGGCTCCCCTCTCCAGGGCGCAGTCTCTGCGGGGCGGTGGCTGCCAGGACAGGTGCGAGGGGCATCCCTGGCACTCCAGCTCGCGATCTCTCCGGCTTCCGAGGACTGATTTAGGAAAGGGCAGAAGTGGGAGAGATGGGATTTCTGTGCTCTGCTTGTGTGTTTGCTGGGAACAAGTGGCAAATGGTAGTCACGCGCCAAGGACGGTGCCGCCCCGACATGTCTTAGGTGTGGCCGAGGACAGGGAGAGAAGACGTCTGGTAGCCGCCCTGGTCCCCTCCGCAAGTCACGGAGCCTGCTGGATTTACCGTGCTGGGGCAGGGAGGGTAGGAGGCGGGTTCGGAGGGCACTGCCCATGCCCAGCCCTCTGTGCCCACTGGACAGCCCAGGGCGAGGTATGGGGCGGACCCCTCAGAAACAATGGGGAGTGCGAGGCCATGTCTTGAAGCAGTGAAATTTCATTTTCTTTTCTTTTTTCAAAAGAATAAACCCTTTTCTTTGGCGTCATTGCACAGACTGTAGGCTTCAGAGCCAGAGACTGATTACTGAAATATTTTGGCACCGAAACAACTTTTGGGTGGGGAAGATGTGGGGATGCTGCGGAGATGTCCGAGGCGTCCACGCTGACTGAGCACAGGCACGCGGCCCCACCCATGGTGCTCTCATTGCCCGCTGCACGGCACCCTGGGCTCCCCTGCGCGGGCAGCTCCGCAGTGTGCCCTGGGGTCACAGGTAGGAAGCGATAACTCCACTTTTGCCTCCTTCTGTACCTCTGAGCAGAGCGAGCTTTCTCCTGGACGGGTATCCATCCCTCCTTTCACTCTGGTGCTACTGCCTTTCAGGGACCAGCACTCAAAAAGGTGCCCAGTCCAAGGCCACACCCCCTTTTTTGGCCACGTGCCAGAAATGTTGGCCCTGAAGAGGATCCTGGTAGATGATGACTCGATAGGTCGATTGGTCCGCTGACCACTTGGTGGCAAAGCCAGGGAGCCCTCTTCTTGGCGACAGCTCCTGCTTCCCTGGGAGAGAGGCTCGGATATGGGGGGCTTTGAGATTTTTTTTCTTCAAAAATTAATATATTGATGGGCTGGAGAGATGGCTCAGTGGTCTAAAGCACCTACTTAGAACAAGTTTAGCAAAACACAGGGACTGCGGTTCAATCCCCCAGCACCACATGCCAGCCAGCCCCACCCCCTGGTGGGCTGAGCTGGCCACACACACACACACAATTAAATAAATAAATAAAATTAAAAAAAAATTAATATATTGATATCTGAAATAGTGGAGCAGCAGTGCCCATGCCCGTCTCTGCCTCACAGCCCTGCAGACACCCCTGTCTTTGATGTGAAGTGCAGTAGGTGCATGGGGCGCACCCCCATTTCTGTCTCCCAGGTCCTTACAGCTGGGGACCCCAGGTGGCAGCAGATGGTGGGTTACAGGTCATCTGGGTTTTATAGGGAGGAAAACGGATGAGGACCATTGTCCAGATCACCCACTTCCCAGCAGGGTGCTGCTTCTGCCTAAAGGAACATTGTTTTCCTATAAAACTAGACATTTAAAAAATGTCAGGTTATTTTACATTTTATCTTCATTTCTGTGCTATTATTAGATTCATGTTCTTCCCCAAAGAATGTCTTAGAATAGATTGGAAAGCCTTTGAAAAGAAAATAAAAGGTGGACATGGTGGTGCACACCTGTTATCACAGCATTTGGGAGGCTGAGACAGGAGGATTGCTGGGAGTCTGAGGCTAGCCTGAACTACATAATGAGATCCTGTCTCAAAAAGTAAAATAAAATTAAATTAAAATTAAAAAAAATAAGGAGAGGGCAGGGCAGGTATGGCATGTGGTGCTGGGGATTGAAATGTGGCCCCCCACCCCTGCCTGAATTTGCCTAAGCAAGTGCTTTAGACTGCTGAGCTATCTCGCCGGCCCTTGATCTTTCATTTAAAACAAAGTTTAAAAAAATAATGATACTAGATGTGGTGTCATACATCTGTAACCCCATCATTTGAGAGGCTGAAGCCTCTTAGTGAGGTCAAGGCCAGCCTGGTCTACACAGATAGACCATGTTTCAAAAAACAGCAGCAACAAAAATTTAAAGTTTCAGAATAATTTTTTTTCTGGGGGCCAGGGAGATGGCTCAATAGAATAAGTGCTTCCCTGGCAAGCACAAGGGCCTGAGTTCAATCCCTGGTTCCGCAAAATAAATAAATAAAAAGAGAAAGGGAAGGGGAGGGGAAAAGAATTAAGATGCATTTTGGGGGCCAGGGAGATGGCTCAGTGGAATAAGCGCTTCCCTGGCAAGCGCAAGGATCTGAGTTCAATCCCCAGTTGCACAAAAAAAAAAGCAGAATAATTTTTTTCTCTTTAGATTAATACTACACCCATGAGAAATTAAAAAAAATACTTGGTTGAATATAACTGTAGTGCCTACTTCTAAGTGTATTGATTTTTTTTTAGGGGGGGACTTGGTGCTGGGTAACAAATCCAATACAAACTAAGCAGTTGCCAAACCCAGAGCTACACTGCCACGCCCTCTTGAGATTTAAGAGAAGTTCAGTGTGAAGCTGCTCCATAATGTTATTAGGATGCCCATCTGTGAATTATTCAGTCTCCTTTTGGTCAAGGTGAAATTGACGTATTTGCCTGGATTTGTTACAGACACGAGTGTCATATGTAATTCATCTGTGTTGATGCTGTTTCTACAATTGGTAAACAAAATTAGGCTGGGTGTTGTTTAATTATGTTTCTGAGGCCCCCTTTTGCACAACGCAGGGCCCTTGATGAGATCCTTGACGTGGAGTGATCAGTTTACTGCTCCAATAGGGAAGACTCTTCCTTCTAGACAGGGAACTCGAGTGATGAGCGGAGAGAGATTAGTTTGAGTAGCCTCATGGGTTGCAGGAGAAAAATTGGAAGCCTGTGCTCAACAGTCTGTGCTCGAGCTCAGAAAGAAGCAGCTGCACACTGATGTTTCTAAAGAGTGATTTCTTCCGGGAACCCTCCAAACATCTGTTTTATCAAGCTTCAGGATATTGGGGGGGGGGGGAGAAAAATCCAGACAAGGAATTAAGGTGTTAGTATTCTTAATTTGGATAGATAGAAACTACCAAAGAAAGATCACCATTTTAGTTTTGTTTTTCTTAATTCCTTTTTTTTTTTTTTTGGTGGAACTGGGGATCGAACTCAGGGCCTTGCACTTGCCAGGCAAGCGCTTATTCTACTGAGCTATCTCCCCAGCCCCTAGTTTTGTTTTATTTTGAGTCAGGGTCTCGCTATGTTGTTCAGCTTGACCTTAAACTCACTGGGTAGCCCAGGCTAGCCTCAAATTTAAGGTGATCCTCTTGCTTCAGCCTCCCAGATGCTGGGATTAAGACAGGTGCCACCACTAAGTTAAAACTTAGGTTAAAATGATATAACCGAGGAGATGCAGAACAAATAAAGGCAAAGGCAAACAAAGGTCGGTGGAGATTCGACTTCATGAGTAGCTCTGTAGCATCTTCCGCTGTAAACAGAGACGTGGACTGAGTCCATGCTAATGTGTCTCGGGGTTAGGACAGCACACTAGGCACTCGCCACTCCTCCTCAGTCTGCTGAGCCTGAGGCCTTGGACCAGGCCCCATTGAAACTGGTCCTCAAAGATGGCAACTGGTGGCTTGGCCACATGCTGTGCCGTGGCTGAGCCCACTCCTGGGCCCAGTGGAAGTTGTGAATGAATTGTCTTTCTTAATCTCCAGTATACATCCTTCAGGGCAGCCTGTTTTGATTTTCCACAGTGATTTCCCAGGCCTAGCATACTCTGGCTGTCTACACTGTTAGATGGGGCTTTCTTATGGAAAAAGGTGCTGATTTACTGTCTTCCGGACCTGGGGGGTGCAGGTCAGGGGGGCGCTTTTTGTCCATCTTGGGGTGGAAAAGAAGCGTGAACAGCCAGTGCATTGTAACAGCTGATGCTGTGTGTGTGGGGGTAAGATTTCTCTCTTTTTTTTTTATATTAATAC